AATAGGTTAACGTAAGTTGTTGCAAAATTAGTGATCAACCAGCCAGAACACCTCCAACCACAGGCAACTTTTGCGGTACATTACCTACAGGTGAAAGAACGTCTTGTTCCACGCCGCCGGCAAGAGGCAAGCCGGCCGCAGCACCTGTCAAAGGGCCTGTAGCAACGCCAATCGTTTAACCCACAGGAAGGGGTAACTGTGGTCTACAATCGCCACGAACGAAAAGCACTAGAAAAGGAGTAGAAATTTATAAGGACAGTTCTTAATTAAAACGGTTTATATTATTATACAAACGCACTTGTTAAAAACAATAATGCAAAAGCTACAGTGCTGATCCGAAACATGTTTTGCTATTAAGTTTCTATGCAGTGGAAGCTCGCAAAGTAGAACCTGCAGTAATAGGAATTTCGAGAAATCAGAATCAGGGTTTGAGTTTTAAGAGTCTTCTTTGTCACAAATAAAGCAATCAGTGAAGGTTGGAAATTCATCTTAAACTTGCCTCAGATGAGTAGTCTATCCACCTCTATTAGGGGCGATAACATCGAAAAAGTTAAAGAAACATTGTTTTAACATCGTGATGTTAGCATCATTCTGGTCATGTTCCAGCATGATTGTAACTGACTTTGGGAAAGTGTGTGCTGGCCACCATTTTTTACTTGTGCATTAAGAAATGCCTTAACGGTTTAGGATTGCATATTATGTTGAAGGAAAGACTAATTCGCTCTAATCGAGATGACTGTTGCAGAGCCTGAAAAACCTTTGAAATACTTCTATCTATATATATACTATATATGTATGAACAGATCGCCATTTGAGTCCTAGCACCTAAAACTAAATCATCTGCAGTTTAGAACTAGCATCCCGCAGTATAATTTGTAACATAAAGGGTAACTGGTTCCTGTGGCGCGGCTGGTAGACGAATTGAACAATCAATTGCGAATTGGATAATTAATCAAGATTCAAAATAGGAAAACAACGCAAAAAGCCAATATGAAATACAATTATAAACAGAAAAAGAACAATTATCGGCAAGCAATTGTGACTAGAAATACAGTGACTGTCGAAATGAGGCAGTACACTCAGATGTTTGTATGTATGTATAGCCAATTAATGTCGTTTAATTGCATTTGATTGCAGGTTGCAGATAACCGGAAAAGAACACATTCTTTGCTCGTTGACGGCCCAATGGACAAACAAAAACAAAAGAAATACACACACACACACATACATGCATACTCGTAAAAGAAAAGAGAATGATACAAAAGCGTAGCGCCGACGCACGCGCAGGCGACTCCAACGCCGACTATGAATTGATTATTTTTCCAAAGTTGCAGCTCGTTGGTGGCGCTGAGGTGTACCACCCATGGTTTGCAAGGTAATTTTAAAACTTTTCTATTGTTATGTTTTCTCAAATTTTTATTCTGCGCTTTTTGTCGCTCTAGCGCTATTTTACTTTACTTGCTTTTTGTTTTTTATTTCTTTATTTGTTTGTTGCGTTTTGCCCTTTTCACTCACAGCTTGCTGTCTAATTAATGCACAACATGTTGCCGTTTCGTTAAAATAAAGGTTTAATGATATTGACGAGCTCCGAGAGTCCCAGCACCAAAGTATCTATACGCAAGTTGCAACTTGTGGCAGCAAGAACAGCGACGGCGACTTATGCTATCTCTTTGGTGATATGTGTGTGCATTTCTACAATTCTTTTCACCTGCTCATTTGCTTATAAAACAATTCCTATCCTTTTTATACCCTATATACACAATGGTTATATTAAGTTTACCATCGAAATCGGAAACCCTATAAAATATATATTATATATAAATGTCGTTGGAATTTCGGACTACATATAGCTGCTATACAAACTAAGCGATCGGAGTCAAGTTCTTGTAAGGAATTTTGTATTTGTGTATGGTATTATTGTAAATTGTAAAAGGCTTCGAACAACCGAAGTTAACATTTTTTTTTTGTCTTTGTTGTTTGTATGCACTTTTAGTAATCCAAGCTGTCTCGCAATTTAGAGAAATGCCATGATGTGCCTGTGTCGGCTACTGATCGGCTTGAAATCTTGTCAGCGTCACTTTACTTTGAGAAATTCAAACAGCTAACAAGTTGCTGTAGTTTAATTTTAATACTTTTTATGTATGTGCATGTATTTTTTTTTTAATTTTTACTGCCTTCGAACTGATCACTGCCATGGCTCTCGCGGCGGGACAGAAGCCAATCGCCGGATTGATTAAAATGTTGAACAACTTCATCTCGATGATGCGAAAAGGGCTCCAGCTACAACTCTTCCAACCTACCTAGACGTGTGTGTGTGTGATGTTGTTGCATGCAAAGCGTTCACTAGGATCCAATGACAGCGTCTAACTCAAATGAATATTCCTGTTCATGGTGTTATTGGGGGCTGGTCGTTGGTTAAGTGGTGGTTGTTGATAAGGTCGTATAGTATGTTAACCTTAACGAATGTGGTAATTTAGAATGTAAAACAAGCCATAAAAGTCACTTGACTTGATTTTTGAACTTCTGCTAAGAATTTGAATATTTGATTTCGTGCTTTTATATTACAAACACCTGAAATTTCTAACGGTTTACTATGAGATATACCTATAGTTGTGCTCTTTTACTGTAGTCTCGCATCATGCTACCACCGAGGATTATGGGTTTGATTACTAGTTGTTTGTAATACCTGAAACTATTCGGGTTGGATAAATAGTTATATATGTATAAATGACCAGGATAACGAAACAAATGAAATTCCGAATAACTATCTGACCGTCCGTATATCCGTACAAACGATAACTTAAGAGATCTCGATAAAACTTAGTACATGTCTTCCTTGACGCAATAAAAAGGCGGACAACTTTCCGCCCACAAAACACCGTCAATTGAAATTCTAAAAATTTCATATCTAAGCCGCTAATTAAGATATAAAAGTAGTATTTGATACAATGAATTTCAATAGAAGAGGCAATATGTGGTTTGAAAAATATTAAAAAGTGGGCATGGCATAGGGATGGACTATGTGGACCCCAGTGAACAATGTCTGAGCTGTTAGAGAAAAAAGCAATAAATATGAAAGATATATTGTATAATGTAACTATTCTTGTGTCAAAAATCGATAAAATATGGTAGTACTTCCCCTGGCCATATAACTACTATAAAGATTTTCAACCTTCCGATTTACTTGACATGGCATATATTGGTCAATATGTTTTAATGAAGTTCATAGAGCATTTTCTTCTTTTAATAGTATATCGTCAAAAATAGGTTAACGTATTGATCAGATAATACTAACCCTACCTCCCATATACCCATTTAAATTAATAGCAGCACGCACAGCTTTTTATTGGTAGTTACTCTACTAGTACTTAGTAGACACACTTTCTGTGGGGTATTTGATAGGACATTTTTCTCTACTCTGATCAGAAACTGTAGTCAAATGTACTGGTATCTGATATCTGGTATTTATCTTTCAGTGTGTAAATTATCTTCAGAAAATGGCTTGGAAAGAAATGCAATGACTTCCAGGACATACTGATATTCCAGGTAACTGCGAAGCAGATGGACAAGCCACAACAGGCACCACCTTAAAATTAGGAATTTTTTATGCTGGCTACTCGTAGAGTTATTACGACGAGTACTAACAGGTCACTGTCTAATTGGCAGGCATGCCAGCAGGCTAGAAAAGCCATATAATGACTATTGTAGAAGTTGTCAGGAGGTAGTAGAGGAGGAGACTAGCAAACATCTTCAATGCGGAACGTAACTCTCTGTATTATCGAATAATAGGAAAACAATTGCAACCATCGGTCGAGGAATTTTTGACGATATTTTGGAGCTTACACAAATTTTTGTACTGACGAACAATAAAGTGAGACGATCTGAGTTCCGGTGGTTTCACAATGTGCGTTGTCAGACAGCCATTCCACCTACCTTCTTACCTATACTTGAGTAGTGCCAAAAGGTAATACAATCATTTAAGACCTTCCCCTAGCCCCAATGTACCCTTTAAAGTGATTTCGGACTACCCTTGACTTTGGACGTTAGTCGGTACTTCATATACTGAAGAAAACCAGATTTTATCATTGAATATATACACACTTATGCCGCTTGTGAGTGCATCACCTGCCGCACAGAGGGCGCACATCTAAAGTAGACATTATCGACTACTGTAGAATGAACTGTGAGTGTTTTTCTTGTTATTGTTTGCATTAAGCATCAACACTCAATCTGTCCGGGAGTCTTTTGAACATGTTTTCATATTGAAAATTTAGTAGAGCGTGGTTAAATACTATTTTAGTTCTGTTTTAAAATTGAACTTGGATTATATAATCTGTGATATTTAACATATTGAAAAGACATTCTTGTTAGCATTTAAAAAAAGAGAAGCAACGCTTTTTTTTCCGCATATTTCTAAGACAGAACTAATGGTCCCTCTCTCTATATCGTCTGTATATCTGTACAACCGAGAACTAATCACTCAGTTATGAGATATCGATCTGAAATTTTGGACCCGTACGATTTTCCGAAGGATATGCTCACGTATCGGACCACTATAGCATATAGCTGGCATTGAAACTGACCGATCAAAATCAAAATAAAAGCCTGCGGTATTTCTTTTTTAATAAAACATTTAACCAAATCTCGTTAATTTCTATTCTCACGATTGTCAGATCAAAAATTTTTAATTTGGTCGCATTATTAAAAATTGTGTAATTCAACTGAAAAAAATATTTATGCTAAGTTAGCTCTGGTTTCAACTCACCTTTTCTTATTTTTTTCCAAACCCAATTAGATCCACAATAAATCAAATAATAACAACATATATATTTAAATAATTTTAAAGATTTTTATTAAATATTATTCAAAGGTAATATCAACAGTTTGTTAGAGTTTAAAAAAAACTAAACCTTAGCGGTGAAAAATCTAAAAAAGTACTTACCTTCATCTAGATAATAGAACAAAAAATCACAGATTATCTTTAAAATCAAAAAATCACGAACAGGTTAGCCGATCATCAGCTGCAATGCATTTCAGGAATTTCACTTTACAGCTGCGTTAACTCATTTATGGTCATTTCCCTCTTAATGCTAAAATGCAACACAACAACAGAAAATGCATTGGAACTAGAAAATTACACTGCCTAAACATACTTCGGATTTACCCTCCTCGCCGAAGAATATGAGTTCGTTGTCATCAAGTATTAACGATTTGGTGTAATGTATGCGGTTCTCAAAAATAATAATTTCCTATCGTTTTATGCTAGTATGCGTCCCAGATAATTAGCGGCACCGGTCGATGAACCGTATGGGCCGAAGCCAAGAATGTAGATTCTGAAAAAAATTTTGTAATGTTAATTTGAAAAAATATTTGTTGCGGCCTAACAAAAACAAAAATAAAATTGTTTGTAGCATTATAATAATTATTTTGGTTATATTTTCGCACTTGTTCATTGATTACTTACCAGCAACGCTGTAATAGCTGTGGCTTTTCGATTGACAGTACTACCGCAGGTTGTAGAACCCGAAGAGCTTAATGGCAAACAGGAGAGTGCCGATCTGCATATAACACCACGGGACGCTAGCGATGTGCTGATTGGTTCGGTTATTTGTATAGTATACTCACATCCGACATTGTAGATGTCGCTGCTTCTACTGCCGTTGCCGCTGCCATCCGCTGCTGAATCGGCATCTCCCTCATTAATAGGCCATTATCATTGTTTAGTGTTTCCACTGTAAATACATAAATTAAAAAAAAAGATCTTAAAGTTGCTTTTCAAGCATCTTAACAAAATAAATGTGTAGAAAAAATCTTAAAAAGAAATCAGCACGAAAATTGTGTAGTTTACCTAATGTTTTGCCATTAGAAAAATTTTACTCCGATTATTTTCAATTTTAACAAGTTAAATCACAGTAGTGCCCAAAAACAACACAGTTAAGTAAGTGTTCAAATTTACCACTGAGTGTGTTACTAAATTTACAATTGTCCTTCACTTTGACAAATAGTAATTTATCTGCAGACAGAATTTGAAAAAATAATAAATATATAGGGCAAGTCAAAGAACATATTCCGTGAAAAATAACTTCACACGTTTTTAAATCATGTTTATAAGTATATGAGCGTATATTCCATCATCTGCGCGTGCACTTCACACAATTGAAACCCATCCAACACACATTTGTCAGTGTTACCTTATTGATGCTTTCGCTCCATTATGGCTGTGACTAAATGTGGCTCTGTGGAATTGACGGGACACTTCATTATGGACCCGGAAATTATTTGCGCTTTTGAAAGCTCTAATAAATGAGCTTGTAGTGAATAGACAAATGACGGATGATATTGATATATAAGGATATATATATATATATATTTTTACCTATTAATTTTTTAAAATTCTTAATCTTATTTATTGCCTTTTCTGTTAGAAAATGATACGCATACACGCAGACACATACATATCTTCGCGTATGTAATGTTGCTTTCTTTGTTCATTGCCATACAAGTTGGTGTCTTTAGTCTTTAGAGTTTTATGGTGGACTGCTTTAATAAACAAGTGAAACGAAACAATACTATTGACGTTGTTGTAATAAAAATGAATTAATAATTAAATACTTTCCATTTATTTTATAATGGTTTAAGAACTAGTGAATCAAGTAGGATGCTCTTTGTCTATCAAACCTCTGCGGCTGTAGCATTAAAAAAATATATACCAAAGTTAAATTAATAAATTATTCTTTTTGGCACAATTATATTTTGAAATCCGTAACGATTTTGAGTATTTATAAATGTCCATGAAAATTTTGCTAATTACAAAATAACAATAATTTGCTCTGCAAGCAATTTATGAAACATATAGGTATTATCTCTATATAATAATATTATAATTGCCAAATATTAGCTTTGAACATAAGTCTCGGAAATCAGTTCTAAAACTAACACCCAATAAACGGTACAAGTGCTAACTATGAACACACACGACTTGTTTGTTAGCTAAATTGCAACACAGCAAAAAAAAAAACTATACCACAACAAAACATTATTTTTCCATTTATTTTTTCAAATTTTCCATCTTTATGCACACGACACGTTTGCTTTTTCTAATTAACACGCAAAATCCGCCTACCGCTAAACAACAACGTTGTCCGACAAGCCAACACATGCGCTGAAGAACTAATAAGTAAACAGTTATGCGCTAACAAAATTTTGCAAATCTCATATATGAATTGGCAGCTGAAAAAAATAAAAAAAGTACGAAAAAATGTTGTGCGTAGCAAAAAGTTGCGATTTCAATTTGGAAGGCAGGCAGGTAGCTGCTAAATATGTTTGCCAACTAAATTTGCATTTTCCATCAGCTGTTGGGAAAAATATTTATGCGGCATACCACATGTGGCAAGCAGTCGAAAATATTCACCGCCTATTCGCATGCCATTTAAGGCAGATTTCTTAATTTTGCGATGGAGATATGAGCA